TCATCCTCCACCTCCAATTCTTCCAGCTCTTCCACTCTCACCTCGACCTCCTCCAACATCCTATCCTCCTGTCCATGCAACTTCGCCTCTACCTCCTTCCCTCACCTTTCCACTACTACGCACAACCCACAGATTTATCCACAAAAAAGTTCCACTCTCGTCTGTGGTCGCGTCTGCCACGTCCACCCACTGCCTTCATTCGGCATCCTCTCCGGGTCACACAATTTTCCATCCGTCCCTAACAAGGAAACACCAGCTATCAGATCACGCTCGTTCTCAGGTCTAAATAAACACAGTCATGCCCTAACTAGGTGACGGAAAATTTTTTCACAAGGCCACTCAACGACCTTCAATGGCGAGATTTTTGTGCGCATTGAAGGGCATGCACCAGAGAGGCACCTTCAGTCATGATGACATCTGGTTCAAACATCTGTCTGTCGACTGAAGCGAGATAAATTTGTTTACAGCAAGGACATTCCTCAGCCTCCCTCAGTGGAAGCACCATCTTCGAGGAGATCACAGTGCGTTGTTAAATGAAGTGGCTGCATAGCTACCACCACCACCACCACCGCCGCCGCCGCCGCCGCCGCCGCCGCCGCCGCCCCCACCACCACCACCAGCAACCTGAAACAACACCACCACCGTCACCACACTGAGACTTTTGTCTTCGTCTGCGATACCTATAGGTGTCCTATACAGACATAAAACTACCTCCCCTAACGCGTCGGTTCAGTAATTGGCCCTGGTATTTAGATGGTCATTCTCTGTCTGACATTTGAATGCGGCTCCTGTCACTAAGTCCGACGCTTTTCGAAATAGCGCAGTGGGTGGGCCGACAGAGACTGCCTTCCTGTCCTGTCAATGTTTCAGATGCCTGAAAGGAAATTCGTTCCATTGCTCGCACGAGCGCTCAGGCAGCCCGACGACTTCAGATCACGCAGAACTCATCCTCTGAGTTACAAAAATGCGACAGAGAGAGCAACAGGGATGCGTGCATCTACTATTCTCGTGAATGAAAAAGAGACACTTATGGAGAAGTAACCCCACCATCCAGAAACAATTCTCCCAACTGCATGTCCCATAGTCCGACGCAGATTGCATCTGACTGAATGATTGTGCCGAACCATTATGTCCGCAGTTCTGGTTAATGAGTGCAGTCAGTAGCTTAAACCACTAATGCATAAAAACAGAAGTTAGAGATAGATCTTCTTTGCGAATACAAACAATTTCTTGAATGGAAATTGTTAAAGGTAAAGAAGATGAAGACCCGATCTCTGGGACAGTGGGTTTATTAGTCTGAGCTTTCGGTCTCGTACAGGAGGCCATCGCCAGAGACTATGAGAAGGCAACATCAAATGAGGGGTTTTTGTAGTCACGCCATGAAGGGGGGGGAGATATGAGTGCAGAGGGTGGTATTCGCGACAAGTTGCGTCCCACGCCGTCTCACGGTGGCGTGACTGCGTGCACCCTTGGCTGGAAATTGGGTCTCGCCCCTTGGCCGCGGGAACGGAGCGCGTGATAGCAGGGGGGTATGTCAACGTGCCTGTTGATGGCGTTGGTGTCAGACACCCAGGCCTCTAACAGTTCTCGTCCTGTCTTATTGCTGGCCCGCGCCACTATCCGCGTGCTCGCAAAGTTGAATTCGTGGCCTTCCTCCAGGGTGTGAGTGGCGACCTGAGACAACGGGTCGCCTCTCCGGACCGCCGTTTGTGCTCCGTTATTCGTGAGCTAAGTCGTCGTCCGGTTTGTCCAGTGTAGTGGCGAGGGCAGTCCCGACATGGGATCTGATAGACGGCGCCCGATTGTTCACCCACGTCTAGGCGATCCTTCGCTTGCATGATTTTTCTGCGCATGGTCGCTGTCGGACGGTGAGCGATACCCACGCCGAGCTCTACAGCGATACGTTCCATCGCTTCGGATACGTTCTTTATATATGGCAGAGGGTGCCAGAGTGTTGGCGGCTCTCCTCCGTTTGTTCGCCGTGGGCGCGTGCGGAGGCAGCGGCTGACGAAGCTGTTCGAGTATCCATTCCTTGCCAGTTGGTCCCGAAGATGCCGAAGTTCTCGTACTCGTCCCTCTGGTTAACTGCAGTGCGTTTTTACCCTCTGGAAGAGTGTCCTGACACAGCTGCGTTTATGCGCCATTGGGTGGTTACTGTGGTAGTTGAGAATCTGAGTCGTGTTAGTCGCCTTTCTGTACACCGTGGTGTTGAGTTCGCCGTTGGGTGTGCGTGTGACGAGAACGTCAAGGAAAGGCAGCTGTTCGGCATGCTCTTCTTCCCTTGTGAACTGAATGTCTGGGAAGATGCCGTTGAGCAGGTCTTGGAAGTCGGCCAGTCTGCTCCTTTCAATTATGACGAACGTGTCGGCCACGTACCGGCGCCAAAATGCAGGTTCATAGTGGTCGAAGGCGACTTTTTCCAGTTCCTGCAGGACTAGTTCTGCAACCAGGCTGGATATTGACGAACCCATCGGCGTTCCTTTGATCTGCTCGTATGTTCTGTCATTGAAGGTGAAGAAGGTTTGTTGGCAGAAAGCAAACAGTTGCAGTGAGTGGTCGATTTTTAGGGGTTTGTTCGTCTCGTCGTAATTCTCTTCGAGTCGTTTGCGAAGAACGTCGCGTGCCAGGTCCGGTGGATGCAGAGTGGACATCAGAAAGTCCAAAACCGTTGCTAAATCACCTGCAAGTCCGCTGATCTACAGGCTCCTTCCGAGTCTATGAGTGCGTGCATTCATCACAGGCGTCTGCAATCGGCGTCAACAGTATATGCTCGGACACCTTCGAGCCTTCGGTTGCCATGCCTTCAAAATGAATTTCCAAACATAGACGATAAAGGCTTTGCAATGTTAATTGAGCGATAGAATACCCGACAGAGGCGTAATCAGTATATGTGCCGGCCGCTATCGAAGCCGAGAAGGGCAACCCACGGCCTTCATTGAGGGCACCACCACCCGTCAGTTGGCAAGAGCAACTGCGCCCACACACAACCTTCAGACACGGTAATCCAGGCGTCAATCGGATTGGATGCTTTGACCCCCGGGAATTCTTTAGGGCCAAGGCGCCCTCGGGCACGCTTGTGGAGCAAGACGAACGCAATACGACTAAGCGGACAGAGTGGGCGACGGAACAGGGTGAGTCGGGGCGTAGATGGACGTTATTTTCAGCAAAGAGAGCTGGTGGAGAAACTGCAAGTCCCTATTTGCATAGTCAGACAATCGAAGGAATTTCGACGAAGGAGACACGATCGCTGGGACAAGAGCTTTAGTAGCCTGACGTTTCGGATTCCTGCCTGGACCCATCACCAGAGACAAAAGCAGATACGAGTGGTCCATGCACAAGGAGCTGCAGTATTCCTAGGATGCAGTCACCATGCTACCGCATATCTAAGAAAATTTACGGCCCCCCCCCCCCAACTTTCATCCGGGATCGTTGCACGTGGTGTGATGACTCTTTGATGGCCGACATTTGCGTCGTTGATTGCTGCAATCTCATCACGTGCGTTGGATGTTGGTGTGATGGCTGCTCGTCCATCTGAAGCACCGACCCTGGTGTTGGGGAAAGTGTTCACCTGTGCGCTCCCCGCTCCCAGGGGTCGTGTCTCCTTCCTCAAGACTGCTTCCTGGGATTCGTCTCTTCGCTTCTATTGGCAAACTATGTTACTGTTATCGCATGAATCCTTCATTGTTAAGTACTTTTTAAGACATCACTTCTGCCTGTGTTGGTGTTTACTCTTCTACCTGTGAAAGTACATTAGCTCCTTTCTTCGACCCGTTTCTACGAAAACCTGTTTTATTGTCTTGTGAGCATCTTATGCAGCGGTTTTAACCGTACGTACTTACTTCCCCTTACACTTTTAGGCTTTCACAACCTTGATTTCTTCAATACTCGTGACGACGCCCCTCTTTATCACTTTTCAACTCACCATCCAAAGATTCCATCTTAAAAATAGACCTCAGTTGTCTGGTTCAAATCACTCTGTGCTACTGGGCCTTCCATAAACTACTCCAATTCTAAACGCCCACCGAATTCAGGCGAATGTTCACATTCCAGATGTCTGTGTAAGTGGAAGACAAGAAGGCTGTTCGATGGCAGGAACCATTTCTTTATTTGTCTGAGCCTTCGAACTTGTGCAGGAATCCTTTGTCGGAGATGAGGGCGGCAACAGAAGGAGACGCCCACCCATCGTGTTAGGGGATGAGTGCTTTCTGTACGTCGACCGGCGAGAATGTCCCAATGACTTCCGTCATCCCTCAAACGATACTTCGCCTTCACCGTGTGTCTCCCGTTATGTGTCTGTGCAAAAACATCTTCGAAAGGTCTGTGGGTCAACAGCTGACAACGTCCTTATCGGAATCTCTCAATTCCTTTCTTATTTTGCTTCTGGTCTGACCGATTATTCTTGTGCTGTACATTTAAAAAGAAAACCCGTTTTAGATTTTGGGCATTCACTTATGATGATCGGTCACCGGGGCGAACAGTCAGCGTATGCTTGTATATGCGCGATGCGAACTTGCCTTCAGTCTAACCTGTGTATTTGCAAGTAAGGTTTAAGTCCGAGATACGATAAAAGTTCTCTGACTGCTCACTGAGATTTAATCGATCCGTGTTTCGTATGATTCTGCTGCGTATTTTAGCCTCGGGTCAGTGCACAATTTCGACACCTAGCCACACAGCAATGCATCCAGTCGATTCTGAGACGTCTTTGATGTACGGAAGGATATGCCACAACATAGACGATGTTTCTGGTTGGGTACCTCCGAATGCGAACACATAGGCATCGGTCTGGAAACCCCAGTCTGCATCAACTGGTCGCGGAGATATCGTAAAGGGCGTAATTTTTTTTTCTGTTTACTGTAGCGAGTCTGGGTCAGTTTGAGGAGTTTTCATTTACACCTACGAAAGGGGTCACAAGTTTAACTTTATTTATTCACGAGTTTAATCATCCAGGCCAGAAGCAAGACAAGCCGTGAACTGATTAAGGCCTGGACCTCCGATGAGAACTCAGCCAACTGCTGAATCTTTCGAGTTGCTTCTTCATTGTAATCAAATATACAGGAGAGGAGACACCCGGTAAATGCGAAATTTCAATTGACGGATAACAGGAGTCACTGAAAGTAAAGGTAAAATCTCCACTTAATGGACCAAACGGACATCAACATGCGTCAGTACGCCTCGCTGGCCAGTGAAACACTTCAGACTCCTCTAAATGCCAGCAGAGGAAAGGGAAAAAGTTGTTGGAAAAGGAGGAAGGATCTAACTTACAAACCTCAGTTTGACTATTCTCCTTTTTACCAGGACGCCAGCCTCCCTAAGACTATCACGTAACCCATATCGCTGCATGAAAGCAATCTTTCTCACTGCTTGTAGAACCAGATATCTCACTAGACCAGTGACTGGCGAGTCCTTTGGAGGTTTCTTGATCAGATCATAGTTTCCCGCGCAAATGTAAAATAGTTGTTTCAGCAAAACTGGAACAGCTTCACGAGGTGCTGGACTTTGATCGGACTCTGAATTTCGTTGTATTACTCCTAAAGTTTTCTCTGAAAGGCTTCTTGCCTTCACCCAGCAGGAAGCCCTCTTCTAGCGCTCCTGTGATGATGACATGTTTGTTAGCGTCAGGAAGAACATGCTGCAGCATTTCCGTGATCTGCTCGACTCAATCCTCCCAGATATACAATTTACTAAGGAGGACGAAGAAGTGCAAAATCTACCCTTCTTCGATGTGGTGGTCAGACGAATTTAAAACGACAGAATAGAGACACTGATCTATAGCAAGGCGAAGAATATCATGCAACTTCTCAGCTTTTTTACGGGAACCATCATGTGACTAACAAACGAAGCTGCGATAGACAACTCCTCAAACGGAAAGAAAAATCACGAGGACAGTTTATGCGCAATGGGATTCCCAGACCGACGCCTACGTGTTCGCACCCCGAGTACCCAATCAGAAACAGCATCTATGTTGTGGCATGTTCTTCCGTACATCAAAGACGTGTCAGAATCGACTGGGTGCATTGCTCTGTGGCTGGTTTTCGAAATTGTACACGGACCCGGGGTTAACATGCGCAGCAGGATCATAACAATCACGGATCGATTAAATCTCAGTGAGCAGTCGGACGGAGTGTACCTTATCTCGGGCATGAACCTTACTTGCAAATACACAGGTCAGAATGAAGGCGAATTCGGATCGCGCATACACACCTCCGCCCTAAAGACCTCCCCAGGGTGAAAACGTCCAATCCACTTGACACGTGGATTACCTCGACGTGTTTCTACCATTTGAAGGAGTCTGTGGACGCATCTGCCCTCGCGGGCTAACGGTTGGTAGTAAATTCCATGAACGCCCTAGGTTGCTGTTCTTGGCCTTAATAGCGGTCTGCATATACATTGATTACGTCCTTCTCGGGTATTCTACCGCTTACTTAACATTACAATGCTTCAATCGTCTATGTTTGGAAAATATTGAGAAATGTTGCGGGACAGAAAGACTTGGGCGTCCTAATGACCTCCTCGCTGAAACCATCATCACAATGCCAAAGGGCAGTCAAAAGTGCGATAAGAGTGTTATTTGCGCTGAGGCGAGGATTTGTGCAGAGCGATAAAGAACTATTCGGAAAAACCTACGGGACATTCGTCCGGTCTCACTTAGAGTATGCAGTCAAGGCCTGGCGACCGTGGTTAAGCAAAGATTATCAACGACTGGAAAGAGTACAGGCGATGGCTACGAAGATGGTCAGGAATCTTCATCGTCTGCCTTACGAAACCAGGCTGACCGAACTAAATCTGTATCCTCTAAATTACAGGCAACTTCGCGACGATCTCATTCAAACCTACAGTATTGTCAGAGGCCGTGAGTGTGCCCTAGACTTTGATGAATTCTTCGAATTGGCCGGGACTGGCCGCCTGCGTGGTCATTCCTTCAAACTGCAGAGGAAGCTGGCTCATTCGGACGTCCGAGGGAACGCCTTCTCACACAGGGTCATTGGGGCATGGAACGGAGACTCCCTGATGCGGTGGTCGTTCCCGAAACTGTCAAATCCTTTAAGTGCAGACTAGATGCTCATTTGTTGAGAAACTACTGTACATATAATAATGATTGTTTTTGCGGCGGCAGTTTGCGCCTGACTCACACATACCGCTAACTTTTTAACTTTCCGCACTTGCTGATGTAATTGATGACTTTATTTCTGTTTATCGATATGAATAGGGAGCTTAAGGGCGAAAGCCTCATTCCCTTAATAAACTGACTTAAATTCTCCCAAAGCATTCATCATATTGGTTTTACTGGCAGAATTGCTACAGAGACGTGTTAGCATGCGAGCTGCCATCAATGCATCCACCACCTTCCTGCAATTGTACTCTTCAGTCTGGACTGGTTTCCACTATGCCCGCTAAGCAGACCCAAATTCTTCAGCATCTACTCCAGATCCAATGCCGAGAGGCGAGCATCGGGTAAGGGTAGGATATGTTATCCACTGGATTTTTGCCCAAAGGCCTGACAATAGGTTGCGCTATGGGTTATGCAGTAAGCGGATTTTGGTTCCACATAGTGACATCAACATGAAAGTCCCCCGATGTATGCTCAAGGCTGGGGTTTGGGTAACAGTTGGAATCGGTTGGTCTAGTTATTCTCTAAAACAGGTTTGCCAAG